TCACATGCCATGCCTTCTTGTACTTCACATCCACCTTATAAGCTTCCTTCACAGCATCCCTGATTGATTTCACCTTAAAACCAGGATCATTTTCAACACTACGCCTGATAAGTCTGGCTATTAACTTCGACCTCAAATTGCGATGGTCATTTTGTCTGGTTATTCCAACGCAATTGTGACGATCAACCCAGGACACAATTTGCCACAGACCATTCTGCTTCAAAGATGTACGCATCCTCCACGCACAAGTAGATTGCCCAATTGGAGTTTGCATTCTTCTTGTTGCGCACTCAGCAACCCATGACTTACGTCCAGAAGCAAGAACATAAAATTGCATGTTGTGATGTATGTTACAGTCTTCGATTGCTGCCTCAACTTCATCCCTGTTGTTGAAACAAGTATTCAAATCAAGGTTTTCTCTATCACCTTTCAACATCTTAACTTCAAATTCATCTCGATCCAGTATGCTATTTTTATAATCACCAATGTCTGAATAAACATGTTGACCAAAACCAGACGTGACTAAGTTTTGCACTGCTTCTGCTTCTTGTTCTTCTTCTTCTAAGTCGGTTTCGTCTGACACATCAGTTTCGTAGTCAACTTCTTCTTCGCTTTCTACATAAGTCCCTTCTGATGCACCATCCTCATCTGATGAATCAAAGTCATCATTTTGACCCCCACCATGTCCCTCGGCAACGTATCCATCGCCGCTGCTCCTACTAGGCCCTACTTTTGCATGTTGAGAATTATTTATCCAATATTGTTGGTGCTGTTGCGACACAAATGTAACATCTTGTTTTTGTCCAAACAGATCTAACAAATTTTGGGTATGCACCGTGTCTTCATTTTCAACATACAGCTCCAAATATGATAAACCTGAAAAATAATAAATAATTTCCACTGACGAGTCGTCCGTAATTGTTGCGCTCCGTCTTACACCGTTGTTTTCAAACAACAAGTTAATTCTCAGATTTACATAATTTCTATCCCAACCCGCTTTATCACAAATTCTACCCAAAAACTCAGAATATGACAGCTTGCGCTCAATAACTAATGTCGCATCTGCCTGTTATCAAATGTTCTGATCGTGCCATCCTCCATAACATATTTATTTCTCCAGTACACATTAATAAAATATGGACCATTCCATACCATTTTTTCTGTCATAAATATAATATTTTTTTAAAAAGCAGTCTACATTTCTATAAAGAGTACAATCATTTTCAAATAATACCGTACAAATTTCCATAAATAGTCTAACATTTAAAAAATAGTACAATCATTTCCAAATAAAACAGTCCACATTTGCATAAACAGTCCATCATTGTTTCCAACAGTCCAGTTATTTCCGAATACAACAATTCATATTTTCATAAATAGTCCAGCATTTAAAAACAATCTAGATTTGCATAAGCAGTCCATCATTTAAAAAAACAGTCCAATATTTTCCTAATAAAACAGTCCAGATTTCCATAAACAATCCAGTGTTTCAAAAAATAGTCCAAATTTTCTAATAAAACAGTCCAGATCGAATTTTCTAATAAATTCAATACTTTTATACTGAATATTCTAATTTAAATTTAATAAGACGAATAATTAATTAATTTAATACAATACAATTAAAGGACACAAATAACATCAACGCAATACTAACCTTGACGATAACAATTTTCAGGCGTAAAAAACAGGTTCAAACTGGAGACCTCTTCATATTTTTTTCTTCCCGTTCAAAACTTTCCAGATCTGGTAACAGTGTCAATTCTTCTTCATGTATAAACTTAAAAACGGATTTTACAATTCCGTTTTTTTGATTAAAGCCTGCGACACTAGTGATTCGTACAGATTATCAGCGTCAGACCAATAATGCGGCTGACAACCTGATAACAGGAAAACGGAATGCCGTTTTCCGTTTTTTGGATGACACGAAAAACGGAATTGAGTCTTGCGTTTTTTGGTTGATAAGGAAACGGAATTTCAATTTCCGTTTACTTTTTTCCCGATATTTCCTTTCTTTTTATTCCGAGCGAAATTGTTTTTTCCAATTTTAATTATTTTAAAAATTAAAACAACGAAACGGATATTGAAATTCCGTTTTTTAAATTATAGTTAAAAAAACGAAAAACGCATTTCCGACACATATTTTTAGGACCACAAAAAAATAATTAAAATATAAATTTCTTCCCGTTTTTTTTTGGGTCTATTTAGGGAAATGACCCCACAAGTTTGTGTCATTTCCTAAGACACTTCATCAGAGGTTGACACATGTTCAAATTTTAATTCCTACAATTTCAGTTTTCTGTTAAATTTACGATACTGAGTGGATTTATAGAACGGATTTAATGGATAACAAAAGGCGTAGAGTGGATTTATAGAATGACAATAGGACCTGATTTACCCTTCACCTCATCTCCTCATCAAAAATGGTTGCATATGATCTAAAACTGAAATCTTTAACACGTTTTCTCTTTGACTACTAAACCATTATTCGTGGACAATACAAATTTTGAAATTGTTGCCAATATTGATTTCAGAGATTATCAATCCCCTATAGAGAGCTTTGCAAACACTACATTTTAAATGTGGAAAAATTGGCCGATCTACCCAAAGATTGACATACATTATCAATTCTACCCTATTTTTTTTTCGATTAGCCAATATTACCCTAAGCTATCCAACCGTTAGCCAATTTTGTCCAATTGGCAAATTTTCGTTTAAATTAACGGAATTCTGTTAGATTTAATTACAAAAAACAGTCTAATAATTTTGAAAATTATAAAAACGACCCTAAAAATTTGTAAAAATAACCAAACAGTCTTTTTAAACTTTTTATTTAATTTTTTCTGTTTTCTATTTATTTTTATTATTTCTCATAACTATAAAAATATATTATATGATCTTTTAAAAAAACTATTTATTTTTAAACACTACTGTGCAAATTTATAGATATGTATATTTGTAACTCATGGTTGATTTACATAAACATATTAATTTTTAATAATATAACTTGACAATAATGATATTAGTTTTTTTAATCCTTTTTTCAATTTAAAGAATAATATTTTTTGACTAAAAACCAATTTTTTACAAAAAAGTAAAACATTTAGCATAGATTGAAAATTAATATATTAGTACATTTTAATTTATTACAAATTGAATAAATAAACTATAGATTGTATTATCCAATTCAAAAAGTTACTAAACTAAAATATAGTGTACAATCTAGTGTTTAGGGTGTTGAGCTTCTTGATAGTAGATATAACATTAATTCTCACCAAGGATTTTTAACCAGAAGAGTGATTTTATCCACATTTATGCATGGTTTACTAAAGGTGAGAGGGTTGAGTTAGATGGTCAGGTGATTTAGTATGGGAGATGATTATTACTGTGTTCGAGGTCTCAATTCTCACTGGGGCGATCTTTTTTTTTTAAAGGTGGAGTCCAGTACTGGAGCAGATTTTTTTTATTATTATTAAAAAAAAATTCCTGCTAAAGTTAGATGTTAATATCTCAAAAAAATTATCACGAAATATTAAACTCTCGCAATGATAAATATACATATTTTTTATAAAATATTTTGTACCATTTTTTTTTACTTTCTGTTTGTACTTGGCCTTTTAAAGAAAATATATATTTTAGTTTAATTATTTTTTTAATTTTACAACACAATCTAAATTCTGTTGAATTATATTGGAATAATACATTAAAGTATACCAATAAAAAAATTTAATCTCTGCTAAATGTTTTATTTTTTGTGCAAAATTAGGTTTAGTTAAATAATCTTATTTTTGAGATTGAAAAAAATAGATTAAAAAAAATAATATCATTACTGTTAAATCATATTATTAAAAAATTAATATGTTTATGTAAATCAACCATGAGTTACGAATATGCATATCTATAAATTTGCACAATAGTGTTTTAAAAATAAATAGCTTTTTTTAAAAAAGATTATATAATATATTTTTATAGTTATGAGAAATAGTGAAAAGAAATAGAAAACAGAAAAAATTAAATAAAAAGTGAAAAAGACTGTTTGGTTATTTTTACAAATTTTTAGGGTCATTTTTTTAATTTTTAAAACTATTAGGGTATTTTTTTTTAATTAAAACTAATGGAATCCCTTAATTTAAATGAAAATTGATAAATTGGACAAAATCGGCTAACGGTTGGATAACTTAGGGTAATATTGGCTAACTGAAAAAGAATAGGGTAAAATTAACAACGCATGTCAACTTTTGGATAGATCGGCCAATTTTTCCTTTTAAATGTCATCCAAATCTAAATCTAAAACTAAAACAAAACATTATCTAAACACCATGTTAGTCTTTATAGGGTTACCCATTCACCATCAAAAAATCAATCCCTACCTCTTTCCAGTAATTGTGCTTTCTATCCCATCAAAAAGATAAATTGATATACAGTCTGCCCATAATTCCACATTGATTTAAACCACCAAGGAACAAAAGTCCAGTTTCTAAAATTTCCCTCAATAATTACTCATAGAAACAACATACAACAAAAATTATTTGACGGGAAAAAATCGATCAAATCACCTCAACACGATAGAGTATAACCACATTGAAAGAAAAATACAAAAGTAACAACATTTAATTGATTTGTATCAACACCATTAATTGATTTGTATTAACACCATTACTCCCAGCAGCCGATTAACAAAATCTTCATCTTTTTAAGGAAACAATTCGGTAAGCCCAGATGAAAGATTAGAGGGAGAGAATCCTCTTTGTGAAATTTTACCTTTGTTTTACTTTCTTTTTTTTTCCCCCCATTTTATCCTCTCTTTTGTGAAATTTTTCTTTTGTTTTACTTTTCCTTTCCCTTTTCTCATTTGCAATATTTTGTGGAAGACGAAAATCTCTCCATTAATGTTTAAAGATATTATGCGTTAGGAAGAAAGAGACACGAGTAAGCTTGAAGTTAATTGTTACAGGAAGTGGCACAAATTTGTGTCACAAGAGACCTTAACTTTGTCGATACAGGTTGTACTAGAATCTTGGTCCAGAGGTTTCTCTCTCTTGTAGCTCTGAACGCTCTCTTTAAAGTTAGTGTATAAAGACTAAAGATGGACATGGAGACTGAGGTCCCAGCCCCTTTGGAGCAGGATGACGGAAATCCAGCAACAAAAAAGGTCAAGAACAGAGAAGAGGCAAGCCAAACGGCAGATAATTTATCTTTCAAGGAAGCAATTCTTAAAACGCAACAAAGTGAGAAAATAAAAATGCCTCCGAGGAAGCAAGTTAAGGTACATGATTCTGATGTCATCCATGAAATGACTAACGGAGTTGGTTCCGTGAAATTTTTGCATAATGTTCAGATCCAAATGAGAGAATCTATGGGATTCTCAGTTATAGTAAGTCCTCTTGGAAGAACTGTAGGCTACCAAGCGTTGTACAACCAACTCATGGCAATCTGGCAGCCTACAGGCGAAATTGAAGTTGCAGACTCCATCAACGGTCACTAGCAATGAAGATGACTACAACAATGTTATTCTCAACGGGCCATGGACAATTGGTACCAGAGACTACGTCAATTGCAACAGTTACAGTAATTAGCTCAGAGTTACTCCATGGACTCAGAAATTCAATTCTAAAACTGGGAATTTGTCAGCAGTGGCTGCGTGGATCAGGATTCCAGAACTTCCAATTGAATACTTCCATGAAGACATCCTCCGCAATGTTGTTAAATCAATTGGAATTTTCATTAAGCCATATCAACATACGTTATCGGCGGAACGGGACAAATACGCCCGGGTGGCTGTCCAATTGAATCTAACTGAGGCTCTAAAAGGAACTGTCGTGGTTGATGAAGCGACATAGAAGATTGAGTATGAAGATTTACCCACGATTTGTTTCGCTTGTGGAAAATATGGACACTTAACTGATGCCTGCCCTACTTCTTCGGCCGGAGCTATGGAAGCGGCACTATCGGAAACTCTGAGTGAGAATCCGGTCACTCCAATAGCAGACACGTCCAATATTGCCAATCCCTCCGGTACCAAATCAGTCCAAACACAACGACCTGTTGGGGTGAGAGTGGATGCAAGCCCCAAAGAGAGGTCCACCTAGATATGCGCTTCCAACTGCTCGAAAGAGCGCTCCAACGGCTACTGAAAGAATGGCAACAACCAGGTCAAAATCGACTATCTATGGTTCTAGATTCAATCCCTTAGCCTTTGAAGATGACAGAGAAGCGGCGACTTTCAACACCTCATCAAATGGGCTAAAGAGTTTCGAAATGGGCCCTTCAATAAACAAAAAAGATCTGCCCAAATCAAGTAGTAATATGGGTAAAAAAAAAAGAATGATGTCAGGGAAGGCTTAATGTATAAGCCCAAGAAAGGCTTACCCATTGCACATGAACCACCATGCGAGAAGTCCAAGCAAATCTCATCAACCATACCGGGCTATTACGTGAGAAGACCAATCAAGGGAATGAAATTGCAACACCAAAGGGACAACCTTCAACATTCTCTCCAGTTCACGTCCCAATTGAAACTCCAGTGCAAGAATGCAGAATTGAGACTCAAAACGAGCAACCAATGCATACTGTTGTGAGTACCTCTTAACCAATTTCAAATACTCAAAATCACACAGTAGTGCATATTCCTCATCCAATTACAGGGCTAACCCACCGCATGTCTAAGACGCACAACCCTTCCTCTGGCGGAAAACCAAGGGATGGAACCAACACTTTCAATATCAAGTCCAAATTCAAAAATTAAGGGGGTAAAGGAAAGAATAAAGAGGCTTTAATGGCGGCTTTTGAAGATTTGGAAGAGTTTGAGGTCTATCAACAAGAGGAGGAACACCGTATCAAGATCGATAATAGGCGCTGCTCTGAACTGGAAGAAGAAGAGAAGCCTCCTGACGTCTCCAAGTGAATGGAGACAACCATACTCTTTTGAATTTTAATTGAAAAAGGGAGAAGAGAGAGATGTCAGACAATCTCGGGGCATATCCGCTGCCTATTTAACACATTTTTTGCTAATACATTGGCACACCAATTATTATACAGCCCCGCTGCCTATTTAATAGTACATCTTTAGCTAATAGTTCCTCCAATCGTTAATATAAAAGATCTTGAAAAAATATTTTAAAATTTTTTTCTTTAATTAAAAATGTATATATTTTTAAAATATATTTTTTGTCCTGTGAAAATATATTTTTAAACTTTTTTTTAATTAAAAATGTATATATTTTTAAAATTTTTTCTTTAATTAAAAATTTATATTAACTGAAACGTAAGATAAACAAATCAAATATATTAAGGACGCGAGGGAATCATTGGCACATCTAATATTTTCCCTAAATGTGTACAAACCACACCTGACAATCTTTTTTCCTCACACTTCTTTCTTTTTTACTCTTCACGCCGTTAGTTACGACATCTTTTAATCACCGTCACGTCTGCCATATTGCTACACCAAAAACACTATCTCAATCCTCCATCTCCCCTACAATCCTGTTTTTTATACCTCCTTTTGTTCAATACATCAAACATGATTTACTCTTTATTTCTTCTATTTGATCATTTTCACATGATATTTCCATCTCACAAAACAACCAAACATTACTCATTCCTACTCAACCAAATCTCCTATTAAACAAATGATGTGATCTCCTCACCCCACCACTTTATCTCCTAATAAACAAAATCAAATATATGCGTTAACAGAGCTGCTTTTACATAGAACTGGGGAAAAAAGGAAGGAAAAAAAAAGTACCAACCCGATAACCTCAAAACTGAAACTATCGATGCCATCCCGCCCACCATCCATATTTTTGACAACAAAACCCTAGTGCCTTCCCCCATTTTCCTTTTCAATTACTTTTCAAGGCCTTCGCACCGAGAGAAAAGAATTCACTGATCACCTCAAGCGGCATACCTTTAGTTTCCGGCACTTTCAAGAATACAAAAACCCACGAAACAACACACACAATTGCGTAAATGCCAAAAACGCCTCCAAGGCCAACGGTACTTAGCATCACGGGGAGGGTATATGTGACAATGATGTCCCCGATCCAAAATGTCAAGGCACATATAGCAATGCAGATGCCGCGTACTCGGGTTGGGAATATCTCTGCACAGAGTATGTTGGGAATGGGACCAAACCCCATGACGAAGAAAAAGAAGTATAGGATTACACTCACTGTTGAAATTGCCGCGTTCGCCACATTCCCGAAATTTATAAAACTTCCGATGACTAAAATGATTAGTGTTAAAATCAGGACCGGTATTGTGGTGAGTAACAAGCTCCTGAAACAAAAGGAATGGAGAGAAGAACGAGGTTAAATTACTAAAAATGCAAAGTCGGACTTGTGAGTTTTTGCACATTTATTACTATAAAGTCAAATAGGAACCCATCACAGTTTTAGGTGGGGGGATGTCTTCGCATGAACTAACAGCCAAATATGTCATGGAAAAGTTAAATCTTACCTTCTGCCCGAAATATCCATCAGCCTCATGGCGATAGCTATGGCAGGCAACATCAACAACGTTGTAAAGGCACTAATAAGTATAGAAGCGGATGTCGAGCTAATTCCAACATTCGACAAAAGAACTCCAACACCTGCCTGGTCCAGGATCTGGGGAGTATAGTACAGTACACCATTTATTCCTGAAAACTAGAGATGAATAAAAGAGAGTCAGATCTGGAATATAATGCAAATCCTAATGCCCAAACACTCTTGTTAATTATTATCCGATTCATTTTTACCAAGAATTATTCCAAAAGCATTACTTTATGCTCTCCTTGCCGACAAATTATGTCAAAAGACAATGACAACCAAATCTGTAACTACTCTTTCACAATGAAGGGAAGAACAGTCAGTAATAGCTTTTTTCTCACACATTACCAACGTGAACTTAAAAGCAAAAGTAGAGAAACCTCATGATAACAAAGCCTAAAACATAACTTCCACATGCAACGATTATTATACAACAACATACTCAGTATATTCCCAACAACAGATATGGGGGGTCAAGATGTACATAGGCTTACCGCTGTATATCAATATAGAGAGGTTGTTTAAGTACGACCTGAGATTTATTTGAGCATTTGATGTATTGACTTTCAGCAACTTAACCAAAATTAAGATGCATCAGAATTTGAACGAGCCATTTTAATCTAGTGCATGCAATGCTCTTATATGCTGGGAAAATGTTCCAAAGATAAGTAACCTATTAACCTATTACACGAAACAAGCACCCAAACCGTTGTGAATTCTTCGAATGATGCAGATTACCTGCTGAAGTATTTGAATTCCGATTCCAACAACCAAAGCATGCTTGACTCCTGGTTCCAACAGGTCCTTCCAGTTTGGCCCTTTTCCTGCAGCTTCAGATGGATGAATCATTGCTGGTCCAATAGGATGCTGATCCAAAAGTTCCTTGGAGTATAGAGCAGGCTGGCTCACCAATGCAGCAGCTTGTATGTATTCACCACCTGCCGGTGCATCACCCCCAGGAACCGAAACTAAAGAACCTCTATGGGAAGCAGGAACACCACCTTCATGCAAATAGATTCTCTTAAACCCTCCTTTCTTTCCATCTTCAGTTTCCTTCTCAACCCACTTCCATGCAAGTTGCCATCCCCCACCGATACCTGTACTACTAGCCATTTCTCCATCAGTTCCGACTCGAAGAGCACTATCCTGCCTAATGCTCAAAATACTTCCATGTGAATGATGAGGAGCAACCATGTCTTTTTCCATGCTAGTTGTCTGGCGTGATATTAACGGGCTATGCAAGTTGTCCTCGAATTCACCTGCAGCAGCATCAGATGCATAATCCTCTCCCTCTCTCGTGAGACTCTCTTCATCCCATTCTTCTTCGTTCCTATGTTGATTTCCTCCTGCAACACTGAACATACTGCCCAAGTGCGGAAAATACATGCTTCCTTTACTTCCCGTATCTGGAAGCTTCTCATGAACACTACCAAAAAGGGTCACTAGAGGATCCATAAGGGGGATGTTCTGGTTCGCTAAGCTTCCTTGGCGAGATACCAAGCTCAGAACACTCTGCCCAGTGACAGGGCGAGCAATCCATGAGGCTCCTCCTTCTGGTCCGTATAACCTAATCTTTTCAGCCTCTGCACTTTGATCCGGATCGTCAGCAAGTTCATCCGCAGGAGCAATGATATATTCCTCAATATGTGTTTCACCACCAATGCCTAGGCCTTCAACTAATAGTGCCATTTCACCTGTAGCACAAAATAACTGAAGTGAAAAAATCACCTGCACAAGCTCCACTGCAATTATTTTGAGAGCGAAAATGAATCAACAAAATACTTGTGAATCACCGAACAACTTTCTTAATTCTCCTACTTAGGTAATTTTTATCAATATCTTTTATACTAGGATACTATTCACTCAATCCTTAACATATAGCCATCAGCATAGAAACACACGCATATGGAACAGCCACAAGAAGGAGTTAATTCTTTCAGCATCCAACTCATTAAATAGGGAGGACACAGTGTCAGGTTAATTTGCTAACAGGAAAATGCTACCTTGTGCAAGTCGAAAAGTTAGCAATTCTTGTGTCACTCATTCTATTATTTGAACCTCCTAATTAATAGATGGAGATCGAAAGGCCAAAGAAAACTCACCAGTTACATCATCCCTTCCCCGGAGCCGTTGCAAAACCTGCTTTGCCTCCAGCATCCGCCCCTTACTAACGAGCCATCTAGGTGACTCCGGCAAAAAAAACACGGCTAATACAAAATATACAATGGATGGAATTGAGAGGAACCCAAGCATCAATCTCCAACTAGGAGAGTCCATCAATGACATCCCAAAGACCATGCAGTATGAGACAAACATTCCTAGGGAACCAGTAAACTGAGGTAACGTGTTCAGTAAACCCCTAATTTCTGGCGGTGCTGTCTCAGATATATAGATAGGAACTAACGTAACGGCCAAACCAATTCCAAACCCATCGAGGAGCCTCGCCAAAAGCAGGACATACACATTAGGAGCCCACAACATCACAAGACCACTCACAAAATAAAGAACCGAAGAGATTATCAGCATAGGACGGCGACCGAGCCAATCAGCAATTCCACCTGAAAATGTGGTGATCAAAGTGGCGCCAATAAGTGACATGGCCACGATGAGACCTTCCACAGTTGGTGCTGTTTCCAAATGAAATTCCGTCTTTATGTAGAGTACTGCACCTGTTAATGCAACAATAAGAAAAACTTCAACACAGAATAACATTAAAATCCTATCCCAGCTTCATGTAATGGACAAACTAGTAAACTCTGCGGTGGTCTTTTATAAGAGATGCATGCATTCCACAGAACAAAAATTACTTGCGAGGATCTGAAAGGCATATGTGGAATGGATGGATCATAGAGCAACTGAAGTAAACTTTCTTAAAACAAAGTAGATAGAAATTAGCCATTATAACATAGTGAGCTAGTAGTGTTTCATTAATTTTTTATACATAATTAAAATGAAGAGGGAAAAAAAAAAACATAGAATGATTACCAGCTATAGTTGCATTATCCCATCCTTGTAGTAAGTTACCAATTGCAGCAGCAATAGCTACAAACACAGCTCCACTCATCTTCAGCCCTGAAAAAGCAAAATTTACAAAGGTATGATAATCTGATAATCACATCGGTTATGAGAGACGTCCTAATAATTCAAACACGCGGCCAATTCAGCTCCTTCAACTTCGACCAAGGTTTAAATTACAAAACCGAACAAACATAGAATTACTTAAAGGCAAGAATTATCATAATAAAAACCTGGGCAAAAAACGCCACCGAAGGCACGAGTCTTGTTTGCCTGAACAAAGAATCAGGTGGAAAGGAAGCCTGGGGCTCCAAAGGTGACAGTGGTAGGGGGAGTAGTTGAAGTAATAGGAGTAGTTAAGGTTTGATTCGGAGGATTATTATGAACCAGAACCAAAATAAGAAGAGAATCCAAGAAAGATAAGAAACAGAATACGAGTTGGTTATGGTAAAATAAACATCAAACCACACAACGGCAGAGACAGAGCCAAATTTACCAGAAGAGGAGAAGAACGGAAAGAAGAGGAAGTGCTGGTTGCTGGAAGAAGAACAGTAAAACTATGAATGATTGAAAATTACAAAGAATATTAACACATATATATAACAATAATACCGTATAAATCAGAGGAAAGCAAAAGAAAAAAAAGATTAATCATATATATATCATAATAATAATAATAATAATTCACATCAAATTTAAAAATCATATATATTAATGCAGTTGGATTTTTTGAGAAATCGAGTGATGTGATTTAATTTAATTATATAAAAAGATGTAAAGGACATGTGTTACATTAATATGTAACATTAAAAAAATGATTTACCATAATTTAGTTTTACATTATTTACTTAATGTTAGAATATATAACTATAATTTTTAACTTTTAAAATTAAAAGCGATTAAATATCTCAATAATCTTATTTTTTCATTAAAAATAGTATAATTTTAAAAATAACATAATCTTATCTTTTAATGTCTTAACTATACATATATATCATGCAATTAAATAATCACAAAAAAAAGTAAATACTTATTTTTTTTACATTTTATTTTATTTTAGTAGAAGCATTGATTTTGTTGACTATTTATTAATTTTTTTCACCGTTTTGTTTGTTGAATATATGTATGTATGTAAACATGCGTGTGTGGGCGTCGCATCAAATTCTAAAATTTGTATTATAACATCAAATGAAATAGCAATGTAGCAATACTCTCTCTGTCCCATAAAATAGTCCGATCTTGAAAATTACAATTAAAAAATTAGACATATAAAATTTAATTTTTACTATAAAATAGATAAATTCAACATAAAATTCTATGAAATTTTGTTGTTTGAAAAATTAAGTCTTAAACTCATAATAAATTTTTGCTTTTCAAAATTGGACTTTTTTTTATAACGGAGTTAATACTGGAAAAAAAGGATTATGATTATTACTGTGTGAATTGTGAAGTGATAAAGTATTTTTGTTGTTAAGTAGTGATGATTAGTGGAGGAGCCCATGTACAGGAATATGGATGTAGATAAATAGAATGGCTACTCAGTTAACTGAGGAGTGTTAATTGAAAAGCGACAACTTTTAGAGAGAGAACATAATAAATGATTAAAAAGTACTTTTATAAATTTAAACTAACTTTAGCATTCATTTGTGTATTATAATTAGCACCGAAAAGAATACATATTATTATTAAAAGAAAAACTTCTAATTGCGTACTATTTTGTTAAAGTTTTTTTCCCTATGTGAAATCAATGTTGGCTAATTCAGTGCTTGTCCTTCCGTCGTCTCATTTGCATTTTCAGCTCATTTTACTTCTTAAACATAAAACCCAATGCGAAACAAACAACTGTCTAAATAACTTTCTTATTTACATTTTAAAATCAAATTTGCAACATTTTGTTAGTTTAGTGATCATTTTTGAAACTAAAAATTAGTGTATTGACCATTTTTTGAACTAAAAATTAGTTCAGTGACTAAATTCAAAACTTTGCAAATTTTTTATCTATTGGTTAGTGATCATTTTTTAAACTCTTTTTTTTTTATATATAGTGACTAAAATTGATACAGAAAACAAAAACAAACCACCATCCAAATAATTTTTTACTAAAATACCATCCAAATACCTTTTTCATCTTCTATTTAAAACACATTTCAAATCTAAGTCGAAAATAAAATTAAAAAAAAAATGACGTCCGAACAAGCCAGTAATTTGAGTATTATAATTAGTACTGAGAAAAATACATAACATAATAAAAATCTTATAATTGCGTACAATTTTGTTAAAGTTTTTTTTCCCTCTATGAAATCAATCTTTGCTTGTTGTCAGCTAGTGATGTTTCGACATATTTGTGTATACGTATGAATCAATACAATTATTATTATTAATTATATACATGAGATAAATTTTGTTTGGATATGTATGAAGTATAGTGTCAATGGAATTGCTTCCATACATAATAAATCAAACTCAGGTATATCACTTACATACATCATAATACTGCATATCACATGATGGGGAGTAGAACAAAACACATACAACATTGTTACACTAGGAATTTTATATTTTCTTCTTATGGTGGGTGCGAATTACCCTCATTGTTACACCAGGAAACGGGAACAGTAGCAATGTTAGTTGGCATTAGCCGTCCGCCCATGATAATAACTGAAAGAGTAAAGTCTTAATGTATCCTCATTTTAAGAAGATGAACTCTCTTAGTTATTAATACTTGTGTAACGTAAGAGATAAATGTAGTCACTCTTTTATAATGGCTGCAAAAGAGAGTATTTGGACGTGAGTGAGTAATACAAGACACACATCCTTTATTATATTTTTGTCTTTTATTGATGTATTGAGTTAACGTACTTGAATAGGTAGAATTAAGTTGAACCTCTCGTAGGTTCAATTCACTATGAGTCAAGGAATATTATAAAAGAGTTTAATTTTGTTATTCTACTGCGATACAGTAAACCGTTCGAAATACCTTTAATGTGGATCGGTAAAAGTACCAATGTTGACAGATTTGTGTCTTTTCCTGTAAATGATGAAATTGGAAAAATGAGGAAGCTGATGAATCCAGAAGGCAGAAGCAAATGAAATAACAACAACGAGTGGAAATGACTGCTTCAATATTATAATTATAATTTTTTTATTCTTCGTTGTAAACAAAATAGTACAAGTAGAGACTAGAAAGGGCATGAATTATTAGATTAATTAAATACGGAATATGTAAAAAAGTATGGAAAAATAAAGAAGAAAGGAACGATGATTTGGTGCCCTTGTTTTTTTATTTGAATATAGAAATGGACAAAAGAACAAAGGGTTGCTGGAAGAAAAACGCCTGCCCATTTACATCCCCACACATCATTATAATCTTATATTCTATTTTATTGGGTTAATATCAATCACACTCCCGATATTTAATTGATTATCAAAAGCATCTTTATTGTTCATTTAAATATCAAAACTATTTATCCGGGTAAACTAATATTAAAAGAGTTCTTTGGCAACTCAAAACTAATACTCTCTCCGTCCCACAAAAATAAACCAGTTTAATAAAAAAATTTATCTCAAAAAAATAGTCCAATTTCACAAAAGTCAAAATTAATTGAATTGGACTTAAATATACAAAAGAGTAATGGTAAGGAAAACAAGATCTACTTCTTTTGATTTTAATTTTTTTTTAGTTTTTTTCCATTTTTTCAAATGGCCTTGTTTGTAGATCTTTTGATCTTTTAATACATGAATAATTAAAAAATGTGTTATATATCAAATTAATCTACGTAACGAGATCTTTCCATCAAGATCTACTGTCAATATTTTTTGAGATAAAAATTTTGATCAAATTTAAGTTATAAAATAAATGCATATGTACTTAACTTTTATAGAAATAACTAGAAGGGGCATTAGTGAAAGTTAGGGGCATAAAATGAGTTGTGCATTTGGTGTATTAATCAAATTAAAAAGTTGTGCATTTTCAAACTGGATTATTTTTCTGGGACGGAGGGAGTATGTGCATTTGAAGCCAACCAAAAAAAGTGCCAGAAAGATATTTATAATCCTTAAGATATTCTTCAATTTTTTCAAAATCTAATAAATCTTATATCCACTTTTAAATCTAAAATTTACTTTGCACGATTTCTCAAAAGCTCAATTTTCAATTTAAAAGTGAATGTTTTATTAAAGTAGAGTTTGAAAAAGTTTCAAAAGTGGTTTTTTATGGATACATACATCCTTTCCATATATATATATATATATATATATATATATATTATGACTTCATATTCATTATTTTCCAGAGGGAGGAAAACCTTTTGAATAATTGACTTACCGGTCAAGGGAGTTTTTTTTGTGTTTCTTAAAAATTTGAGAGTATTTTAGATAATTAATCAAACCTCATAAGTATTTTTTTCTTCATAATAACCCCATTTTATTTTTCATATTTTTGGATTACTCATTGTTGCCGTAGTAATTTGCTTAAATACGGTAAAATCTCCCTAAATTTAATCCTCCACTATTTATTTTTTATCTTTAAAATAATAAATATATTAATTTAATGATTCCATAAATTAAAACTTTTGGAGGCCTAAATATTTTAATTTATAGAGATTTTACTGAAGTAATTTTTCCAATGGAGAATCAACCAACATATTTTTAAATTACTCTATATACAAGATGAGTTTCAAACTTTGTTTTTCGACTTTGATCATATATATATATATATATATATATTTTCATATTTGCAGGGTGTCCACCGTTGGCAACAGTGACTAATCCCACTTGCTGAATAACATTTTACTATATGGATAACATTTTATCATTTTTGTTACAAACTTGGAATGTGACTTAAAAATATTTTTGGAGTGAAAATTTAAATTGTTGTATAGATTGTATTTTGAATAGAATATTACTCGTATTTTTTTCATCACCACCGAGAAGAAGATGCAGTTAGCGTGGAGACACAAGAAACATACGTTGGACACCTCAACATATGGTGAACAGTAACCAGACCTCAACAGGCTCATGTTCTTGTATCAGGTCTTTTATATATATATATATATATATATATATATATATATATATATATATACGTATAGACTAGGTGAGGTGCCGCATAAGGTGCGGCTTCACCCAGAGTATCTGTGCAAATTAATTTGACCTTTTGATAACCAAATAAGTTAGCAAGCAATGATTGAAAGTTTAGGTGACATAAATCTACATTAAATCACTTTTGGTCTCAATAGTTAACATGAATGCTTTTCTAAATTATATAGTTAATACATAAATTATAATGTTAAAATTCTCTTTTTCACAAGTACTATCTGGATAGTGTTAAGCATACTTTTGAATAACTTGAACGGCTTCCGAAATACTTAATTTTGAGTTGAGCACAATTTGAGTTCTAAACTTTTGAGGCTCTCTCTAATGCGAGTTTTTAAAACGAAGGTTATTATTGCAGGGTGCTATCGTGCAGGTCAAGGCGGTTGCAATTTAATTTTTATCGACACCGGGGTAGGTTTGTTTATATATATTTTTAATAATTTGTATATGTATAAAAATTATTTAATAATATATTATATTTGGATTTAATACTCTTATATAAAAGCCAAGCCGTGCATTCCTTTAATTTAGCCCAAGTGATACTTTATATTAAAAATCAATCTGATATTAGTAATGGATTTTCTCTTGAATGAAAACAAAAGGGCTCAGTACTTCGATTAAAACGTAAAAAGGAAAATGGCCCAATTTTTCTCTCCGACTCTGGCCGCCCTCGGCCCGCTACAACTGTCCGGGAATGGAAAAGAATCAGGACTCCATTTGCTTTCTTCTTCTTCTTCATCTATGTTCTTCTCCTTTGTCCCTTGATCTATTTTTTTTCTTCTTCTAATCCGTCTAAATCTAGTCAGTAGATCTGAAATTTGATCAAGGGATCTGGTATGCATTCCGTACTGGTATCTATGTAATGGAATTTGGGAAAATATGAACCTGGATTTGGATTTCTTTCTTGATGAACTCATGGCAATATTTTATCAGAGAATCGTTACTCTGTTACAAAAACAATCTTGAGATTGAACGAAGGGAACCTGTAATTTTTGGTGGAGGGAGAAAAAAAGCGAAATCAAGAGATAATTGGGACTTTCTTGTTCCCGTGGGGACAAGAACAAGGAGTGCATGAATCGTCAACAAATTTGGGCGGACTACCGGCAGTGAACAGGCTCACCGGAGGTTTCCCATTCGCATGGGGACAGGAAAAAGGGCGGACGACACGTCAGCAATTTTTAACAGAGAACCGGGAGTGAACATGCCCATTTTGCTAGATTGAGCCTTTTATATATGGTGTGGATATGGATATTTACTAGTGTTGTTTCATGGTGTAACATTCTCGTGTTTAAACGATGTATGTTGCTTGTAAAAAAAAAAAGGTTAAAATGTATTTTCTATTGTATAAAAGACAGTGGTGCAATACATCATGAGGGAAGGATTTTTTTGGTGTAATATTCCTCGTTTAGCTGTACTATTACAATTTTTTGGTCTTGCTCATAATGGTCGTTAGTCGTTACTCTGGACAGTTCAAGAAGATTCAGACTTTGTTTGATGGTTTTCTGGTCGGTTTTCTTAGTTTTTTTTTTTAAATTAATAAATGTTCTATCCTAATACAATTGTTTACATTTTCAATAGAAAAAACAATTAAAAATAAATAGTAAAAAAATAATCCAAACATATTTATTTATAATTATTATAGTAGAACAAAATCCTACCCAAATAGTGAATTGGGTATTTGAGCCCAAGTAAAGTGTAAGAGTCCAAAACACTTTGATGGACTTGGATTTGGAGGCTTCTCAAGATCCTGTAGGGTTTTTTCATTGATCGGCCCTGGAATAGGACACGTGGACTCATTACCTTCCTTTCCTACATTCTTGCGTTTCTTTGTTTTTGTCTTTTTGACTCCAAATACTTGTCTTCTTTTGGTACTTCCCCATCCTTAGATCCTCTTGCTCCTCCTCGTATAAATTCAGAGAAAATGAAAATCAGAATGCCAAAACTGTTGGAGTTCAAGTCGGAATCTAACAAAGAAAAAGAAATCCAGTAGAAGATGACAACAGGAGGAATATATAGCGGGGAAGCGGGAGGAGGAGGAGGAAGGAGGAGGTCGGAGGAGTTCTCGTACAAATACTACGGACTATGTGGGGCCGGAGGAATGCTCAGCGCCGGCACTACTCATCTTGCAGTTACCCCTCTCGATGTGTTGAAGGTCAACATGCAGGTCTCTTCCTTTTCCGTCTCCTTTTAATTTTAATTTATTTATTCGGTTCATTCATTCAGCTGATCAGCTGCCTGCAAAAGCAAAACCCCTCCATTTAATTTTTTTGGAATGTGAAAAATGCTGTGTCTCTGTTTGATCAAAGATCATCGTTACTGCCGTTTTCGTATCAGTAATGCTACTACTGTAATTAATGCTAATACAAATAAGCATGCTCTTGTTTCAACTATTTGTTTTTTTTTATCATGATTTATTTGTACGTGTGTGACGGTGCGTGTGTGTCTGTGTGTTTTCAGCTTAGCTGCTGCTTATGAAAACTTGATGTAATACTACTTTGTTTCTATGTCTTTTACATGGCCCCCCTTCCCCTTTTATTTAAGATTCAGGTGCCGTGGTGATCCATTGTTCATATTTTGTTTCCGGATTTCTTTCCTGAAAATTCTTGTACTTTTTACTTCTTTCATTTTTTTTTTCTTCATCCGCAAATCTTTTGTTTTCTTGGACCTCTTAGTTTCTAGGTCTGTCCTTGAGTCCTTCAACTTTATTTTCTGTTAATTCTCATGTATTCAGATTCATTGTTCTGTTTTTTGCCCTGGCTCTGAACCTTTTGTACTCTCCTGTTCATTTCATCACTCTTTTTTTTTTCGGTTGGTTGGTTTGGTTGGTTGGTTGGTTGGTCAGTCGAAGAACAAGTATGCAATCAACTAAATACATTTATGTGTCAGGTGAATCCAACCAAATATAGTGGCATCTTCTCTGGCTTCCACACTCTATGGCTCGAGCAAGGCCCTTCTGCTCTTTGGAGAGGTTGGTCCGGAAAATTCTTTGGTTATGGTGTCCAAGGTGGATGCAAATTCGGTCTTTATGAGTATTTCAAGAGGTTCTATGCTGATATGCTAATTGATCAGAATAAGACTGCCATATTTTTCCTTAGCAGTGCTTCTGCTCAAACGTTCGCGGATATTGCTCTCTGTCCATTTGAAGCTGTCAAGGTTCGAGTCCAAACTCAGCCTAATTTTGCAAAAGGATTGCTTGATGGATTCCCAAAACTTTATGCCACTGAAGGGTTTTCAGGGTTTGTTCATTATCACGATCAATCTCTGGCATTTAGTGAATTTTTTTTTTTTGTTATGCCCTCTTCCTATCTTTACAAGTGAAACCAATTTTCTTTTCTTAACCCCCCTTCTGGTTGCAGTTTTCTCAAGGGACTCTATCCACTCTGGGGTCGCAATCTTCCATGTATGTTTTATGAGTTTCTTTTCTTCTCTCAACTTTGTGATATGTGTTCTGTTGGTGCTTCCTTATGCATATGCCATCCATATTCACAACTCTTTGTTTGTTACAGTTCTGCAGTTTCTCATTTGATTTTGAGTGCTACTTTATTTTTTAGAAGATTTCATATTAATATTGAATTTGATACTTGTCTTTGGCAGTTTCTGTGATAATGTTCTCTACATTTGAACATTCAGTGGATATGATATACCGCAAAATTATGCGAAAGACGAAAGAGGATTGCTCAAGGGCTCAACAACTCGGAGTGACATGTTTAGCTGGCTATACAGCTGGTGCTGTTGGTACCTTTGTCTCCAACCCTGCTGATAACATTGTTGCGTCGCTTTATAATGGAAAGGCTGCGACAGCCATCCAGGTAGCCACTTGCGATGTGGTTGTCAAATTTTTGTTCATCTAAAAGTTTAAATTAGTTGGATCGTGGTTCATCATTTGTTGTTAATTTTCAGGCTGCCAAGAATATTGGATTTCTGAATTTATTTACTAGGAGTCTTCCTGTCCGAATGACCCTTGTGGGTCCTGTTGTGACTCTGCAGTGGTTCTTATATGACAGCATAAAGGTTCTAAGTGGGCTGTAAGTATTATTTGGATATTTCCTGGTTGAGTTTTACATTGTTGCTTTAATGGCGTTGTATATTCTTTGCTCATTTTCCACAAACGCTGCATGTTCAGGCAAATATGATGTATTATTTTCTGAACCTTTTGATCATTTTTTGGATGTCCTGAATGCATTTTTTCAGGCTATCATTGCAGTAGCTACATTTGGTTTTTTATTATGTTCTGATGTTCAATTTCTTGAATGATCTTCTTTCTTAGAAGTCTTCTTGTTGCTGTGAGTTGGTGTCATATACAATGTACTTTGTTTCTTTGGACGGCCTCTCTTTTCTGTCTTCCGATCATATTTCTGCATCTGATGTTTCATTTCAGCTGATTATTTCTGGATTTGAAACACGCAGGCCTACTAGTGGAGGGCTTAGCAAGCGCTTCGACCATAATAACAATACGATATCTGCATCCTAGGAAATGAAGCAATGTGCCACTGGGTGTCATGGGGTGCTTTGTGGCAACTTTGGCAAGCAGTGCAGCTTCCGCAAAGGATGTCATGTGAGAACCACAGCTGCAAACCAGGGAAGATATCCAGACCCTAGCATCCCTGACGAAAAATGATGTGAAATTTTGGCCCCTTCATAGATAGATGAGAGAGAAAGAGACTGCCGGTTCTGGAATATCAGCAGATGGTTTTGTGTCGGCACTATGCTGAGAAAAATGCGGTGAAGTGTATAAATGCATTGATATAGTTGTAGAGTGACTGCAAAAGCCAACTTTAGAACGTAACAGGCATATATTATATGTGAGAATTTTCTGAAAACGTACAGATATAGTGTATGGAATCCAATTTGTATGTTTTTCGGGGTACAATGAGTGCTTAGATCTCTTTTTAAAACATGCATTGGCTGGGAAAGGGGATGGTCCCATCCAACGAGAGAGGAACGTTTCTCTTTTGCTTTTTTGTTTCTTTCTTTTTCTTTATTTTTTTTTCTTCCAATTATGGTTGGGAAATCAAGAGGAACGTATATATATGTAGAACAAATGCTAGGGACCCAAAAAACAAAAGAAAGAAAGAAGAGATAATCACATGGGCCAATAATGATTTGATAATTGGGGCTGCCTGACTGACAGAACATTCCTTGGAGTTTCTTCTGGCAATGATGCATCCATCCTGGTACGAATGTTGTTTGATTGTGTAAGAAAAGAAGTCAAAACACAGGTGTGAACTTGGAGAAACCAAAGCGTTTCATTGCATGGAAAAATTTTTGGATTTCTTCCTCTTTTTTTTTTTTTATATGTAAAAAATGCATAAATATGCATTCCGCCAAAAGTCACAATTTGGTTGCCAACATTGACTGGAAAGGAACCAATACATAGCAATAGCAATAGCATAGCAGCATAACCAAAGAAGGCAAAAGTACAATCCAATCCCGAACCCGATCATGTAATAGACTAGTCGTAGTAATAGTAGTAGTATTAGATTTTCACTTGATTAGTGACAGAAGATTACAATACAACCCAAAATTTTTGGGAGGAGGAAAGCCACAAAATAATAAAACCAGAGTAGACCTTGCTGGTCAGCAAGCACTAAGCTTCTGCTATAGTAATTTGTTGTCGTAGAATCTAAAAATTTAATTAAAAGTAAAAAAAAAAAAAAAAAAGATCTTTCTGGGAAAGTAGCAACTTGCAACCTGCAGTTGCAATCCATCTCCTCTTGCAACTTGATTAATTCTCACTATCCATAACTAATTAATTCTCACCAGTTAAAATAAAATAAGAATAATAATAATAATAACATATGAATTATGAAATACTATCATGAGAGTTGGGGGGGTGATTGGACCTTCTCGGATGGAGAGGATGGAAGGATACCTTCCTCCAAGTATTTATTTAGCAATAAATTAAATTAAAACCCCATCACACTATTCTTTCCTTTTCTTCTTCTTCTTCTTCTTCTTCTTCCCTTTTGTTTCTGATATGTCATGATCATCAACCCCGTCATCCTGCCGTCATCACCAGCACCACCACCTTGGTCTTCCTCCTCCGCCGTGATCCAGCGCCAACCCTTTTTCCTAGCTCAATCATACAAAAATTCAATATTTGCCGGTATCCCTTTCCATCTCTCCTCTTCTTTCCAATCTTTAGATCTCTACCTATTGATTTGGATTAGATTGCGTCATCTTTATCCAGCTTCCCAATGTCCATTACCTCAAGGTTGCAATTTATGTCTAGCTGAGTATTTATTATACGCCGTGTGATTTGGGTTTTCTGGAATCTGGAATCTGCAATCTCTTGACTTTTTGACTTCACTTTTTTTTTTTTTCAAGGAATTTTAATTTATGACATCTGGGTTGTTGTTACCAAGATTCTTCCTTTTCTACTTATTTCCTTTAATGTCTTTCTTACTCCTAGTTTTACCCCTTTGATTTGTTTATATATATGATTACGTCCCAATGATTAGAGGCAGAGATAAAATGCATTTTTTGAGTTATGATTCTTATAGCAAAAACATAGCAAATGAAATCTGTGGTGAATGAAATAATTGAGTTTGATTCTGTTTTTGTTTTCTAATAAACATACATTTTTACCCCCACCCAAATGCTGTAGTGTTTTAATGTGAAGAGATACAATCTTGAGTTGCTGTTTTGTTTGCAACAGAGTGTTGATGTGAAGAAAGAATTGGGGTGTGCTTAGAGTCGCATCGCATTTGATTCAAGGTGAGGGGGAAAACGGGTATATGTGATTGTTTGATGGGCAATACATGCCGTGGATCTTTTGGAGGAAAACATTTTCAGGGATACGCTACCCCAACACCTGAAGAACATTCCGTTTCCAGGCGTGACCCATCCTCCACCTCTTCTGCCACTGCCGGCCGCCACTCTCACCATTCTAGTTCCGACAATTTTTCCCCCACCAGTTTCACCTCTCAGCAACACGTTGCTCAAGAATTTTCCCAAGACACAAACAATCATCCCAAAAAAGACCATAAAAGTAACACCAATAACAACCATAACGTCACCCTTTTAAGCCCTAAGAAGGAAACCATCATGAGCCGCTCCAGTGGCAATCAAGCTTATTATGTACTTGGTCACAAGACTGCTAATATCCGCGACCTCTACACATTAGGACGCAAGTTAGGACAAGGCCAGTTCGGTACCACTTACCTATGTACTGATAACTCCACCGGAGTTGAATACGCTTGTAAATCTATTGCCAAGCGGAAGTTGATTTCCAAAGAAGATGTGGAGGATGTTAGAAGGGAAATTCAGATAATGCACCATTTGGCTGGTCAGAAGAATATTGTCACTATAAAAGGAGCTTATGAAGACCCTTTATATGTTCACATTGTCATGGAACTTTGTGCCGGAGGTGAATTGTTTGACCGTATCATTCAAAGAGGACACTATAGTGAGAGGAAAGCTGCACAATTAACGAAAATCATAGTAGGAGTTGTTGAAGCATGCCATTCCCTTGGAGTTATGCATAGAGATCTTAAACCCGAGAATTTCTTGTTGGTCAACAAGGATGATGATTTCTCCCTTAAGGCCATCGACTTCGGATTGTCGGTTTTCTTCAAACCTGGTAAGACGGCATCATTCTTTCAGTTTCCAAACTAATCTCTGGCAAAGAGGGAAGTCGTGTCTTTATTCAGCATTTAACATTCTACTCAATGAACTCGTGTTTGGATACTTAAACTGTTGGAAAGCAATGAATCTCATGCCTGATATAGAATTCATGCGAATAGAAGGTTCCTTTTATGGTTTAACTTTATTTGCCCTTCCTTGTTTAATACTGTATTGGTCAAGTATGCCACTTTACTGATTAAATATGCTACTTTCATTTGTAGCTAGATGCTAACAGTTAAATTTATCTATTTACCACTGAAATAGAGCCATACTAGTGTTACTGATATGTTGGGCTTTTGACTGTAGGCCAGGTATTCACTGATGTGGTTGGAAGCCCGTATTATGTTGCTCCTGAGGTGCTCCTAAAGCACTATGGTCCAGAAGCAGATGTATGGACAGCAGGGGTTATTCTTTACATTTTGCTTAGTGGTGTGCCACCCTTTTGGGCAGGTATGTTATTCTATCGTTTGCTTTCATATTTTCATTTGCTTCCACCTTTTTGGTAATGACGATTTATGCCTCTAACTATGCAGAAACACAACAGGGGATATTTGATGCAGTTTTGAAGGGGCACATAGATTTTGATTCAGACCCTTGGCCTTTAATATCTGACAGTGCGAAAGATCTTATACGCCGGACGTTGTGCATGAGGCCTTCTGACCGTTTGACTGCTCATGAAGTATTATGTAAGTTCCATCCTGTTCGAAATTTCTACTGTTTGAACTGTGTGTTGCTTCTGATGCCCCTGGTTCGCAATGTTGTGTGTTCATTTAGTTAAATACGTAAGCTACTGCTTCATGCTGATTTATGTTATATAAATCACTGAACTCTATTTGTGGTGCTTGTATCTTCAAATCAACTTGACAGGTCATCCATGGATATGTGAAAATGGTGTTGCACCTGATAGGGCTCTTGATCCTGCTGTACTGTCCCGTCTCAAAAATTTTTCCGCCATGAATAAGTTAAAGAAAATGGCTTTGCGGGTATGTGTAGAGGCATCTTGAGAACTTTGACTAATGAATTTCTTTGTTATCACGTTTGAGTTTGGTTTGACCTTTCGTGATATCTGCGTAAACAGTATCTCAGGAAAAATGCCTCTGCATGAAATTTACACTTCATGCCTCTGCTTAGTGTTGATTATTAGCATCTCCTAGTGTTTTTTGACAATATATTTGGAGGACTCACACTGTTCGTTATAGAATTTGGAGTCCTAATTTCCGAAACTTTATGAAATGTATCTGCCACTTGGCCATCTCAGTTGCAAGATGTGTTTGTCTCTCCTAATGTTCTTGGGAATCTAAAGAGGCGTTATAATTTAGCTTTGCTTGGTCTCTTTCCAGGTAATAGCTGAAAGTTTGTCTGAAGAAGAGATTGCTGGCTTGAGAGAAATGTTTCAGGCCATGGATACCGATAACAGTGGTGCGATCACATTTGATGAACTCAAAGCTGGATTGAGAAAGTATGGGTCCACTTTGAAGGATGTAGAGATACGTGACCTCATGGATGCGGTGAGAAATCATTTCATACAGTTTGACACTTGTGGGAGGACTACGAATGTACTCATCATCATGTTGGGAACTCAATTTAGCTGTACTTCATCACCGCTCCTTTACCTTATGGAAGCTAGTCTGTTCAATCAATTAAAATCATATAAACTGGAAAATAAAAAAACTATTCGTTCCGGTCTGCATTAGCTCCTAGAGTTATGAAGCTTATGGATGTTGTAGACTAGTTTTGTCTCTTCTGAGTGTTGTGGACTGAGGAAATCTATGGTCTTTTTGTAACCATCCAGTGATCAGTGAATTGATTAGATTTGTCGTCTATATGTAATCCATGATCTATGCCTGTAGAATTGTCTGGCAATAACATTATTTGGATTTTGCAGGCTGATGTCGACAACAGTGGGACAATTGACTACGGGGAATTCATTGCAGCAACAATCCACCTCAACAAGTTAGAAAGGGAGGAGCATCTGATGGCTGCCTTTCAGTACTTTGATAAGGATGGAAGTGGTTATATCACAGTTGATGAACTGCAGCAAGCCTGTGCTGAACATAATATGACAGATGTTTACCTCGAAGATATTATCAGAGAAGTTGACCAAGACAATGTAAGTTTCGATATTAATGGTTTCACATTACTCTTCACTAGTTTGGGGTGAATAGTTTTTCTCTTCTCAATTGTAATTTTTGTTTGTTTTGTCGGTCCTTGCGCTGCTTCGCTTGGTCAGACTGCATGCGTTATGTGGTATTAAGCAATTTAAAATTTTTTCAGGATGGAAGGATTGATTATGGGGAATTTGTTGCCATGATGCAAAAAGGGAATGCTGGCATTGGAAGGAGAACAATGCGAAACAGTCTCAATATCAGCATGAGAGATGCTCCGGGAGCTCTTCCAGGAGCTCTTTAGAAGTGTTAATACTCCTAAGATAATACCTCGTCTCTTGTGTTATTGCTAGCTTCGGACCAACTTGTGTTATTACGGGTGTCCCATTCACTATCCATATGCAGCAATAAAAGTTTGTGAGCTTCTGGGACGAATGTTAGCATGCATTCATAGGACCCCTTGCAGAAATAGTTTTGAGAAATAGTGTTTGTTGCTTCTTGTTCTGATTATGCCCTTGTCAGGGCCTACAAGTTATAGTTGCTGCAGCCTGCCTAAAAGCTTTGTATCCCTTTTAGTGCCGGCCATTCGTTCTTGATTGTCCTCAAGATTGGGATCGTCGAAGATAAATTTGTGGAGGCCAGCCTTGTGTGTGTGTATGCTAGCGTAGCTTGTCTTAACAGTGTGCTTGGGAGAAAGTGCAGCGAGCATTTTGATATTTTAGTCTTTAATACTTGTTCAGCTGTTCACTTACTGCTAATTCTATTGAGTTGTTAATTAGTAGAAAGCATTTCCCATTAAATTTTCGATTTTAGACGTTGATGTTTGTAACCCCAGTTCCTATCTGTCATATATGTTGCTTATGTCAATCCCTTTTTTCGAACTTGTATCACAGCAATTGACAAGAAACCATTTTGAAAGTGTACTCAAATGTAGTTTGATTGATTTTTCTGTAATACTTACACTTCTTGTCATTTGGGGGGTCAGTTCATCAAAGTGGAAAGGCTTCGAAAAGCCATACAAATATTGATCTTTGCATTCACGGTACTAGTAGTACTGCATGGAAGTGAATCACGGTCTGAAGTAGCTATTGTACTAGAATGAATCTGGTACCGCCCTGTCCAGTTGCAGCTTTGAGTAGCTAGCTAATCAGTATGACCTTCAAATTTGCAGCTTCTCGCGTGTTAAAGAGATCTCCTGCACAAACCAACATAGATGAGCAAAGGCAGGCATGAGGGGGGGTATTCGCGGGGGATAACAAAGTAGGAGTACTTGCCTTGAGATTTGCATTGGGAGAAAAGCTGCAGGTGGAGATGATGGCGAGTCCATCCTCCAACAACCATCCGACTTGGAAGACATGGCTGCGGTGGTCTTTGGGATTTTGATTTGACGAGCTATAACACCAGAGTCGTTTGGGTAGCAATACGACACCATCTCCATCCCTGGAGCAAGACTGAGGCGCACCTGTCTCGTCATCTACGAGTTCTTTGATGTCGTTGTTACTGGGGTCGTCGTGGTAAATAGCAAAAGTACGCTGGGTGGCCTGCCAAACCCCGGAGATTTTAGAGGAATCCAAGGCCGGTGTAGAAGCGAAGGCAGAATCCCGAATGGAACAACCCCCCAGCTGATCTCCATTCCGGAAAGGACCATACCATTGCTCGGAGAACACCTTGATGGCCTCCAATTCCAAGCCGCGATGGTCTGGCAAGACACGCAGCACCTGAATCACCCGAACCCGGGAATGCACATCTGCAGGATCAACCAAGCAATGCTCCAACTCAATCAGTTGAGGCTGGACAGGCCAGACCGCCACGTAGGAGCCGGTGGCGGGCAGGTAACCGAAGGCGAGGGAAGTATCAATGTGTCGTAGGAGGGTGGAGTAGGTAGTGGCGGCGTCGGCTTCGCATCCAACGGTGGGAAGCAGGGCGATCAATCGGTAGTGGAAATCGAAATGGGAGTGAGGTTGAGGGGGAGCCAGAGTTGGGCACTGAGTTTGCCAATCGAAAACTTGGACGTCCCATTCCCTGAAGGCTTCTGGAACCACTGATTCTGGGAGTTGGATGGGTTCACCTGAGTTGGTAAAGTCTGCCCCATATCCGTCCCATTCCCCGCTCACCTTCTCCGCGAATGACACCCAACCCTGTTCTCCTCCGGCTGCCCAACCAATAGTAGAGAGATTACGAAAAATCAATCAGTCAAAATCATCATATAGTGTGTGTGTGCGTGTATGTACATAAAAAAAGAAAAAGTTTTGAATGATTATGGTATGGTATGGGTTTTGCTGATTGAATGAATTTGAAGACTTACGGATGGATGGGGAAGACGGTGAGGAGGTGGGGATTTGCTGGTGAGGGGTGGTGGTGGAATTGATACTACTGGTGTCGGCAGCCCTGATCCTGATTGGGTGGTTGAAATGATGAGTAGGATAGCGGATGCCCTGCTCCTGCTGCTGGAACACAAGCCTGTGGTGGTGGTGGAGAAGTTGGTTTGATGGCGCAACAAACCACCCCACATGGTTCTGAAATCCAAAGGAAGCCATAACCCCAACTTCAATCTTCAAGTCTTCAACCTCAACCTTGGAGGAGGAGGACAAACCAGACTTCCTTTCCTTCCCCCCCAGCTAGTTGAATTATTGGAAGAGGAATTAGTGGTGGTCTTATTTTTTCCTTATATTTTATGTTTGGATTGTTTTTTTAATATATATTTTTAAGTATTTTTTGTATTAAAAATATAAATTGATAGATTGAAAATGTAAAAAAAAATATGTTAGGATAAGACATATAATAATAATAAAATATGAAAAAACCATAAAATAAAATAAAAAAAAACCAACCAAAGAGAGCCTTTTCTTTTTCTCGGTAGGGTTGGGTTTTAGTGTATCGTATAAAAACAAGGAAAAACTAGAAAGTCCAATCCATCATCATCTCCTGTGACATGTTGAAAGTTGAAACTTGGACATTGAAATGGATGGAACTCGGATTTTATCGTACTTCCTTCGTCCCATAATTATTGTCCACTTTGCCTAAAAAATTTTATCCCAAAATTATTGTTCAATTTGACTTTTTATGGATCAAGTTACACATTTGTCCTTAGTAAAAAACATTATCCATAAAATCTTTGTGGTTAAACAATTACTTATGTAGGGGTATATCCGGTTGTTCAAGGTAAAATATAGTTAAATTTGATTAAAAATAAAATTTTTCACTTTAGTAAAAGTGGACAATAATTATGGGACGGAGGGAGTACAATTTTTAGGAGTCCAAATCGATTATGAAGAGACCCAACCCAATCCAACATTGTTGGTTCGCATGTTCTAAAATGATCAGTTCACATGATCAGTTCGCATGTTCTAAAATTTAACATGTGTTTAGAGAATGCAATGGAGTAGCGGATTTGTTAGCTAAGGAAGGTATTCATAGGTCTTGTGATTTACATATTTTAGCAACCTCACCGATGAATTACTTAGTAGTCTTTTGTTAAATAGATCTTTTGTTAGATAGATCGATCACTCCTTTTATAAGAAGTGTGCCATTGTAAATTTGTAAAACTTCTACTTAATATAAACAAAAAAAAAAAAAAAAAATTCAAAGGGGGGAATGGTTGCAGCTCAGTCCAGAGCCATCGACTGGCCCATGTGCTGCTACACGTTGTTGAGAGAGAATGGAAGCTGTTGGAACATGGAACTGTACTTGTTGTGTAATATATATGCAATTGCGCCGACAGAAAATCGATGGCAGAGTTGCCAAGCACAATAGCAGTCGCTTATACATATGGTAAGGAAAGCACTGCTGAGTTGGGAACGAAATTATACGACAAACTAGCCAGGTCATGCATGCTCTTGTTTGGGTTTTCAGTTTTCACTCTTTCCTTCTCACGGACACAAGAACCAAAAAAAGGAAAAATGCAAGTCCTATTAGCTAGCTTTGGACCTTTTGGTTCTTTATTTAATTTACGGTAAATGATCTTGAGATCATGTATGTAACTTCCTTTTATCGAATATCAAAATGATTGGTCAATCTATATTTTCATTTTGTAATATAACTTGAACTGAAAAAAAAAAATTAAACGCAGAAAATCATTTCCAAGAATAGATAGTAATACTATACCAATGGCCGCCGACAGAAACAAATCCCACAGATTTTAGCGGGTGGTAAGCTTTAAAAAAAATTTATTCACAGAATGGGTCTGGCCGTCTGGGGAAGTTAATTACTGTAACCCAATTTTAATATGAACGAATAACAAAATCAATAATACTAGCATCGATCGAAGGAGGAACATCATCGTGTATAAAGAAGACACAGAGCACTGCAATTTAGAAGAGAACAACAGATTGCATGGACCTTTTGGGAGGAAAACAAATGAATGAATAAAAAGAAAAGATTATACGATGAATCTTTTAGGTACAGCCCATATTATGAACAAAAAACACAAACAAAAACAAAATACAATAAATTTTGGCAAAATATAATCTTACTCTCGCAGCAGAGCATCCCTTCCATGTGTTGTTGCTTGATGCTTCCCTCATCAGATTCAATTCACCAGGCAAAAACCAAGCCCATCCTTCTTCTTCTCTCTATCTATACACAATTAATTAAATAACTAGATACCACTTCTACATCAATATTACCAAACTTTCCCCCACCGCCACAAAAAAAATAAAATAAAATTATTATTACTAGGTAAAAACAATACTAGTAGGAGTATTCAACAAGACAAATTTAACCCACAATGTTTTCCAATTCATAACACCCGCGCTTGTTGCGTGTAGTTTTTCTTCCCCTTCAACTCGGGTCGAGTCGGGTTTCTTGACTGGATCTGGGCGGGGCGACGGCGATACTAATAATACTGCGATTTAGTAGTGGTAGAAGAAGAAGGGATGGATTGAGGAAGGACCATGTTATCTGAACGTAGGAGCTTCCCAAGCTCGAGCTTGAGCTTGAACAGCACGTGTTTCCAGCTACCCTTGTGGTGTGACCCAATAGCAGCCATCTCGTGCTCGTTCATCTCCAGATCTTGGGCGAATGCGGGCTTCCTCGACAACACCCAAGCCCATCCCAAATCCCACCATTTCCTGATCGAATTCCCGGCGTACTGTGCTCCCATTGATGACATGGATTTAGATCGCCGGAAGGATCCCATTATGTAATCACTCACCGCCGAACCCGACCTCCCTGACTCCTCTTGGATCTTCAGTGACATGGATGACAGTCTCCTCCGTATGCCACTCTGCTCATCCTTCTCCCCATTTTTGTCGGCGGCCGTCTGATGATGATAACCATTCTTCATCCCAGCAGGTTTTGAAGAAATTGGGAGTCCCTGTTTGCCTTGGAATCCCTGGAATATGGACCTGCTGCTGCTATTCATCTTGATCTGCTCTGTTCAGTACTATAGTAGTAAGCCCTGTCCGGCAAGATCCAGTTTTGCCGGATGTGCGTGTGTGCGTGTATTTGATAAATGAAGACTTGTGTGTGAATTGAGGGGGTGGAGTGGGAAGAAGAAAAAATGAACAAATATGAGAGAAAATGAAATGGGAAAAGGGTTAGAGAGGAGGAAACTGTGCGCAGGGGGTGGTGATGGTGGTGAGATGTAGCGGTCGGTGGTCACAGTCCCTCCTTCATTTCCAGCCTGTAATATTATAATACTATATATAGTATACATATACTATATTGCCGTCGCTACTGCTTGTATTTCTATTCTCACCATCATTCATTATTGTTGGTAGTAGTATTGCTTTTCTGGAATTTTTATTTTCTTTTCTTTATTTGCAGAGTGATTAATCATTAATCCCCTTATTGGATTGCAAATACCAAGTACATTGAGATAGGTGAGACAACTAATTAAAAAATAAATCAAAATTGCTCCATTCTTATTCCAAGCTTTACCTGCTTTACAGAATTGGATCTTTCGTGACGCTTTATGCTTTACATTCTATGTTATGCAATTTAATTTTTTTTTTTTATAAATTCTTTAATTTGTGTTAATACTTATATCATAAGCACATGTTTTACTTCTTTTTTTTTTTTTTAACAAAATCACTCGTTAACGATTACTGAAAATAGTCCAGCACCAATTGAGAAACAAAGTTTGGAAGATCATTCCAGTTTCGATTACAAAAACCTTCTTCGCATACTTAACAAGCGAATGAGCTACTACATTGTCCAAACTAGGAATCCAAGATAAATTAGCAACCGGTAGATCATAACATATGTAAATTACATCTTCTAGAACTGGGGTACATGCAGAGGGACCATCAATTTCATTCATAGCTGCCAAAACAATTAAAGAAAAATCACCTTGGATTGCAACGTTTGCGATTCCGAGCCTTCTACAAAACAGTAATGCTTCACGCATGGCTAGAGCTTCCCCTATATTAGAGTCAGTAACTCCCAGAAACTGGCGATATAAGCCACGCATAAATTGACCATCAGAACTCTGGATGACTATGCCAGCTCCAGTGCATTTAGCAACATGGTTTATGGAGCCATAAAAAAATACTCGAATAACATCTGGCGGAGGAGGCTGAAAAGCTAGCATTATCCTCAAACTTCGATCCATGCTGTTTTGATTCTGATTTTGCTCCATGAAATCTCGTACTATTTTGCTGGATTGAAGAACGGCTGACCATGGCGAAGTAGATGTCTGTTCAAACAGCATTGAATTTCTAGTCTGCCAAATTCCTGAAAGTAAAGCAATCAGAAAAGCGGTGGAAGGAAATTGAGTATCGAGAATTAGAGTTCGAGTCCATAAATCGCAAAGAGGACGATGTCGCCTGAGGATCTGATCATGGAGACCTGCAATTCTGAAGATTTGTGCATCAAAAGGACAATCAAAGAAGATGTGACAGTTGTTGATAGAGCTTTGTTGACAGAAGCCACATGACGAATCATCATTCAGGTGCCTGATAGCTAAATTTCCTGGAGTAGGGAGTGAATTGTGGCAAAGTCTCCACGCAAACAGAAGGATTCTGTTTGGCAATTTCAGATTCCATAATCTTTTCCAGAGAGGGTCTTGAACTCCGATTGGCATGACTGATGATGAGTTGATCTGCTGACTAAAATCAGGGGAGTACAGTAACTGAAAATAGGCAGATCCAACAGTGGTGACCCTTCCTTGTGTGGTGCCAAATCCAGCGATCAGGGGATTGAGAATGTAGTAACGCCGTGGACATGATTGCTGAAGACTCCAGTGGCGAAAAAATGGCATTGATGAGATCCGAGTTCCATTCTGCCCGATCATGATGGATCAAGGGGGAAACTGTTGCTGTAGCAGGTAGAGTGTGTGGATTTGAAGAAGTCCGAAAGGAAGGCTCTTGAGGAATCCATCTATCTTGCCAAATATTGGTTTGTTCGCCACTCCGAATCTGTTTCCGGCTTCCGAGTTCCAGCACCTTTCTCCCTTCCAAGATGCTTCGCCATGTCCACAAAGGTCTCAAACCTAAACAAGCATCAAAAAAATGCTGCGCAGGAAAATATTTAGCTTTTAAGACACGGGAAAGTAGAGAGTGCGGTGCAATGTGAAGTTTCCAAACTTGTTTGCTCAACATAGCCATGTTGAAAGATTTCAGGTTACGAAATCCCAGACCGCCATCTTTCTTACTATGAGCCATGGACGACCAATAAGACCAATGGATTTTCCTTTTATTATTTGAGCCTTCCCAAAAATAGTTGCTGGCCATGGATTGCAAATCCTCCAATACGTTATCTGGAAGCATAAAGCACGACATGGCGTAAGAAGGGATTGCCTGTATAACAGATTTGATAAGCGATTCTTTTCCAGCTTTTGAGGGAAATTTCGAACTCCAGCCTTCTACTTTATGCCACATTCTATCCTTAATGCTTGAGAAAAGCTCCTTCTTGTATTTACCAACAATAGATGGTAACCCTAAATATTTACCATGGCTCTCCACCTCAGGGATTCCAAAGATGTTGGGATAGAATAAAATTCCAGATTTCTCCAAGTTGATTTTCTGACCGGATACACGTTCATAGAGTTGAATAGCACATTGAAGATAACAAGCTTCATCCACAGTAGCATGACCAAAGAGTAGTGTATCGTCCGTGAAGAATAGATGCCATATTTTAGGCGCATCTCGAGTCACACCAACACCATGTATTCTTCCACAATTTTGGAGATCCTGTAATAAGCAAGAAAATGCTTTCGAACAGATTATAAAGAGGTATGGAGAGAGAGGATCACCTTGGCGAATTCCTCTCTCCGGAGTGAGATTACCAAATTGTTGTCCATCCATAATGAAAGAAAAACAGACGAGGAAAGACATGTATAAATTAGATTAACAAAAGACTCACAGAACCCTAAAGCTGACAAAACAGATTTTAAAAAATGCCATTCGACACGATTGAAAGCTTTACTCATGTCTAATTTAATAGACATTAAGCCTTTATTACATTTGGGACAAATTTTCATATGGTGGGTGGGTTTCATAAGCTAAGAGAACATTGTCCGTGATTAAACGGCCAAGGACAAAGGCCGATTGAGACTCTGAAATGATAGAGGGAAGGAGCAAGCATAGCCTATTAGAGATGACTTTTGAACATAATTTATACACGACATTACATAAAGAATGGGACGGAATTGGGTAATGATGTCAGGTTTTTTCACTTTTGGAATTAAAACTATGTGAGTATAATTCGTTTGAGGATTAAAGTGACCCAAATTTAAAAAATTCAGAACAAAAGAAGTGACATCATTACTAATAATATGCCAGAAATTTTTTAAAAAAGATGGGGCTCATACGATCCGCACTGGGAGATTTAAAAGACGCCATTAGAGCTTTGACAAACTCATCTGCGGTATATGTTCGCATTAATCGTTCATATCCGAACTCACTTTTGGAGCTATCCGACTAACAACTTGTTGTATCTCTGAATCCAACGGGCTAGATGAAGCAAAAAGAGAACCATAATAGTCCATAATAATGCTCTCCAAATCATAAGTATCATGCTTTAGGTTTCCTATACTGTCTTTGAGGCCGGCAATATGATTATTTGACTTCCGTTTATTTGCAAAAGCATGAAAAAACTTGGTATTACAGTCTCCCTCCTTGTACTAATCGTGTTTTGCCCGTTGCTTCCATTTAAGATTTTCTCGTTCTGACAACAATTCCAGCTCCCTTTCAAACTCTCCCAATTTCGAACGTTGCGGATCATCAATCTCCCCCTTTGCAGCAACAGAATCTCATTCTTAAGAAAAGCAAGCCTTTTCTCAAAATCTGATGAGTGATTCTTACTCCAATTCAAAAGACCAACATGAACATGCTCCAACTTATCCTCAAGGGTATCAAGATCAGAATTCCAATTTTCCCGGATGATTATTTCACAGTTGGCTACCCTCACCCAATGAGCTTCAAAATGGAAAGGTTTCCGTCGCCTGATAACCTGACCATTAGCTTTCTGTTCTCTCAATTGGATATTCAACATCATGTGATCCGATATAAACGCGGGAATATGAGAGACAGAACTCCATGGGAAAATCTGAAAAAAGTTAGAATTGAAACTCATCCTGTGTGAGGACTTCGTTAAAATCTCCAAACAGAATCCAAGGTTTACGCCCTGGATCAAAAAGTGTTTTCAATTAATCCGAAGTTCTCTTCTCAAAGACACATCGGGCTGCCCATATATGCCTGTAAACCTTATAGAATGACCAAGCAATTCAGTTTCCACGTCAATCAAACGATCCGAAAATCATCGCAAATTAACTATAATATCTTTCCTCCATAACATGGCCAAACCACCAGAACTTCCACTTGCTTCTACACAGACGCCATACATATCAAGTTTGTGCTTCAGACTCTGAATATGGGAGCTACGACACTTGGTTTCACACAAAAAGAGCAAATGTGGGGATTTTTCGCGGACAAATTTGCCCAACTCATCGAATTTCTGGAAACTCCCCAATCCCCGGCAATTCTAGCTTATGATACTCATTGAGTTGGGCGGGATTGGGTTGTTTGCCCAATCTCTGTCACACCGCCATCCGTAGAAGTTTTAATCAAAGCAGAAACACGAGAGAGATGAATGCTATCCAGAAAAGACTTATTTCCAATTACTTCAACATCCACCATATGAAAATCCTGACCATCAAAATCATCTATAAGCAACTTACGTTTCCCTAATCTTGAGGAAATAACATTCGTTGGAGCATTCTATAGAATACGGCAACGGGCCGTATTGAAACGACGAGTCGATTTCTTAGCAAGGGAGTCAAGAGTCATCAGAACAGTAACTAAGTAAGGGCTTAGAAGGGTTAGGGCTGTGGGATTTGGTGAATGCTTATGGATTGGTGAGGTTGTAAAAGTAACAGGAATAGGGACTGAGACATCGTGGCAGGAAGGGGAGCATGAGATGGGGAATCAGGAGGGAGAGTATGAATGTGTGATTCAGAATACGGGTCTGATGGAGGGAGCGAGTTTAATGGCGAGTTCCATGACAGTGAGTTGGGCAAAATACGGGTGGTAGTGGTAGTATTAGTTTGAGAATTGGTGGCAAGGTTTAGAGTTATGGGTGGTGAGATTTCCAGAGATTTAGATGAATAGGCAGGATCAACTGGGTTTGGAGGCAGGGCAATATTCATTCAAGTGGAGGACTTAGGGTTTCAACTGCGTTTGGAGAAGGAGCAGCTGATCGAATAGTCACAGATGGATTTTTAGTTTGGGAGGGGTCAGGAAGAGGTGCTGATGAATGAGGAATCGGGGGAGGCTGACGTGAGGAGGAAGGAATATCAGGGAAAGCTTAAACAGAAGAAGATGGCGGGGAAAAAGGTGGTTAGTTTTTGAGACTAAGGTTAGGATTGCAAGTTGAGGGAACGTGGGATACTGGGGATTGAAATCTGCCAGTGGTGGTTATATAATGTCCTTGACGTTCGTGATAAGGGACGGTTTCCCCATCCGAATCATCAGGGACGTAGAATGGGTCTAGTTCTTGAGCTGGACGACGTGAAGGAAACGGATTCCAATATCCCGTCACCTTGAGCCAACTGCCATGTTGCGGCGGATTTACAGAACTTCCGGCGGGTGGTCTTGTCGGACAACCACTTTCAATATGACCAATAATGCCACAATGGTAGCAAAATTCCAGCAGCCTTTCATACTTCAATGGAATTTTGATTTCCTTTCCATCATGCTCAAACTGAAGAACCTCATAAATGGATTCTTAATATCGATCTGAACCTTGATTCGAAGAAAGTGGCCAATACAATTACTATCACCATCTCGAAAAACTTCCATAAACTAGCCGATGAGACTTCCCAGAAATCTTGCAAAGTCTTCGTTCATCAAATCTATTGGGCAATTATGCAATTGAATCCACCACGGGCACTTATTGAAGTCCACATTAAGATCATCAGAAGGCTTAACCACTAAAAGATGCTTTCGACCCAATAACCAAGGTTCGCCATACAGAACCCTTGCTCTATCAATGCGGTCATTGAACTGAAAATGGACCATATTTTCTCCCACAGGCCTTACCGTGAATCCACGGCCGATAGACCAAATGTTCCGACAATGAATACCAATGGAATCATGAGAGACCACTCTAGGGCAATGAAGTTTGCTTACAATTGTGAGAAAGGGATCAATTTTCGAGTAATGTTCAAAAAACCGGTAGAATGCATGACCGCTTCATTTTCCCTCAAAGAAAGACGACCGATGATAGATTCCAACTCCTCCTCAGTAGCTATGGAAATAACAAACAAAGCAGGATTTCAACCGCATGAGAGAAACGGATGTGAAAGGTTTGTTAATGCGAGCAATACAAAGCGGACAAGATCTGTAAAAGCAAAGAGTAAAACAATTTATAAAAATAGGAAATAACGAAAAAAAAAACACGTACAGTATAATAGAATAGTTTCTAGAAGGAAAAAAGGTTACAGAGAAACGAATTATTCTAAAAGATGTTGAGAATGATTTGATCCTGAGAGAATAAACAACAGGAGAAAAAATACGATTGAGAAATAATCAATCCATGAAAATTTATTTCATGATGGACTCTAGTTGAAACAGGACTCTCAAAGAGAACTCCCAAGGAGAAAACTCTAGAACTTTTCTATTACATG